CGTAATGTTGCAGCATTAATAATAAATATTCAAACAAATGGTGCACATATTTTCATTTGTGGGGCTGCAAAGAGGCCAACTATTGTATATTGTTTTTTTTTCTTATATCATTGCTGTTTCTTTTTTAAATATTAATTTAACATCCTTTATGCGAAAGACAAAACTCCACGTATATAAGTGATATAAATCCGGAAGTTTACCATATTGTCGAGAAACGTGTAAGTTTTACGAAAAAGAAATCATTGTGCTCAGCTCCTACAAAAAAAAAAATAATAATAATAAAATAAATAAATAATAATAATAATAATAATAAATAAATAAATAAATAAATAAATAAATAAAATAAAATAAAATAAAAAAGGAGCACTGAATTCCAGGCCAACATGTACATCATTTACATGCAAATTCCATCCGAATCGATAATGTATAACAAAAATAATATATTGAGTTTTTACTTAAAGCATCACTTTATACTAACTCGATACAATCAGCATGCACGGCCATGACTGATAGAGCAAATATTAAAACTTAGAAAACCCATGAATGAGTCATGATTTATAAATGTAGCACATGCGCAACATTGGTTCCGGAGGCAGATACATGTTTTAATGCTGTATGAAGATCATATTTTAATTTAACAGCATATTTTAATGGTGAGATCAAATCACTTTATTTAAGTCAGCTTGTTTTGGTTTGTAACCAGTGAGAGCGTTGAAGCCACATGCACATCGTGTTCAATGTAGATAACTTGAGCGGATCAACACTGCCAACCACAAAGAAATGTAGAAAATCCAACGGTAATTGGACAAACGCCATGTAATCAGTAACATTGTCAGTAAGAATGTTAAGAATGGTGACATTCTTTACAAGGTCGTTGCGGTTTTAACTGCTTGCAACAGTCAGATATTTGAAGAGGCATCTAGACCTGTGACGGGTAATGGGACGCTCTCAATAGTGCTGTTCTATTTTCAATATGCAGTCACAAAAATCGGACAGAACTTGTATTTTACTTCTCTATATTACTGGCACTTTTATAAGTGTTGGAATTGATTTATCTAAGCCCATCAATAAACATGCCTTTATCTTTTAAAACATATGTTTACAATGCGTTTGTTAACAACGACATCCGGCAGGTGACTGAGATGGCCCTGTTCTTCCGTTTGCATATTGATAAGGTAAAATGGCCGACTGTTTGTAGCGGTTGATTCGCAAAAACGTTGAAGCTTTATATTAAAATGATACGTGATACATGATTTGTAATATGACAAGACTGTAAAATAGTGACATGAATGCATATTTGAATCTTTCTTTTTCGTTCCTTTTTCTGTTATAACACGGCTTCGCCAAACATGTGGTGTATGTTAAAGTGACAAGTACCAATGGACTGGCTTCTTTGCACTGGTTCTTAGAATAAACTGAAATATGATTTTAGACCCTTTGTACTTATAAAAAAATGCATATCAGAATAAAATATTTTCATGATACATAGTAGTTGGAATACCATATTTATAGCCTGGGAAAGGGGATTTCCCAACCAAAACTAATGTTTATGCCCTCTGGCGGCATTTATTTAAAATTTTGCTACAGACTGCTACATGAACAAGCACCAGTCTGACAGCAGTATGACATTAACAGAAACTTGTAATTATATTGATATCAGTTTAAATTTAGAGAGCCTAATGGTAGCATATCGGTTTGTGATTTACTTGAGAGAAGCGTGTAGATCAAAGAGGAGGAATGAATTTCCAAGCAACATTTGACCGTTAGGATATGTGGCGGTTACATTGATGTAAACATACGATTTTCAATGGACTTACTGAATATATAAAAACCAATGGGCCTTCCAGTCTTTGTCGTAAGTATGATACTAATTAAAAAGGACTGAAAACGAAAGGAATAATACATTTGACAGTTGAGAGGAATCGAACTTACATCCCTCGTAAACATACATATGGATACCAGGTTACCTTAGTACTGCTGCAAAGGTACGTATACACTTTTGACAGGCAAAATACAATTGGTATATGTTGTCACTCTAATATTCAATTAGCTTAATTTTTTAATTGCATGTATAATTGTATAAAGATAGGTGATGACTATGACTACATAATAAAGGCCTGTTATAAGCTTTACTTGGATTTCTAACAAAAAAGATGTGCAATTGTTGTAAATAGGCCTACAACATGGAAATGAAAATGTTTCCCTCAAACCCCCTTAGAATGAGTTTTGTCCATATTTTTTATAAAATTTTCCCTCCGTTTTGTTATTAATAACCATTGCTCCTTCTTGACCTTAAATGCAACATAGAGAAAATATTTCCATTTAATATGGACAGAAATTGTAAATAAGAGGTAAGGAATTGGTTTAGCCATGTCTTAAAACACAACACATCGATCTGAGACACAACGACCTGTGAAATAATCTATTCACTTTGTTTATGGAAATAAAACTGAAAAAGATGAAACAAATTACAGCGTGCTTGCTTATAAGTATACATGTAGACCATGACAAAACAGCTTTGTAGAAAAAATACACCGTACTCAGTGGCGGATCCAGGATTATTTGAAGGGGGGAGTCCGTTTTTAGGATTGACAGGCCGCGGGTACGAAGCCGATCCTCGCCCCACCTCCCCCCTCCTTAGCGTGGGGTTCGGTTCGCCCGAAAATATTTTGGTATTTTAGAGGGCGAACGGAGCTTTTTGATACGGTTTAGAACTATGATTCAGCTAGTCAAAGTTCTAATTTCAAGAGGGGACCACTGTTTTTTTTTTTTTTTTTTTTTTTTTGTTTTTTTTGTTTTTTTTTGTCAGAAATCGAAGGGGGAGTCAGACATCCCCCTAAATCTGCCACAGGTATTGATAAAATTAAATATAAAGGAGACATTTGCCAGAGGGAGTTTGAATTTAATATTTTATATAGGTATGATTCAGAGAATAGAACTTTTTTGAAATTTTACAGAAATGATACCAATGATATATACATGTATGTTGTTTACAAACTTTTGTTTTATTCTCCGCTGATGACTTATAATTTCTACAAATGATTATTTCATCTTTTCTTTTGTAATAATGATGATTATGATGATTATGTAACCCAAAAAAATATGATTGGCTTTATTATCAATATTTTTAGAAATGTACGGATTTAAACTCATATTATTTGACTCCAACTTTTGTTCACACTCTTGATTTGATGGTAAATATCAACTGAGGAGATGGACTCATATTAAATACAGTTCATACTAAAGGCATATCGTCATACTTTAAAAGTGAAATAATAAAAAAATATAAAGATATAATTAAAATGTTTAAATGTTGAAGTAGAATTAAAACGTTAAAATGTTGAAGTAGTTTGGTCGTGAATTTTAGAAAAGGAAAAAAAAACGCTTTTTAGATTATTTAAAGAATATTTTCGAAATAAACAAAGAACGAAATGCTTACCTGAATGGCAGTTCTTTTAAACTGATTTTCTCCATTAATGTCAACATTCCTCGCTTCAATTAAATTTTGCAGTTTGTTGACATCGCCTTTCGCTGCAGCAGTGGTTAGTATTTCGATTCTTTCATTTTCTGCCATAGTTTAATTACCTGCAGAACGTTGTACAAAAAAGAAAAGTAATCATTTGCAAAAAGCTAGGAAAAAACAGCAGAAAATGCGCTTTCGATGCCTCAAATAATAACTAACGAAAAAGAAATTCTGGGATCAGAAGGTCGTGTTTGTTAGGAGATTTCTTATTGGTTATGCAAAACACGTGATAAGTGTACTGTCATTCATCAAGGGACTGTCCCAAATTTAAGAAATTGTTCATGATCGTACATGTACATAGTTTATTACTTGAATTTAAGTGAATGGTAAACTTTAACTAAAGAACTACCAGCTCTCGCCGGGAAGTGGCATTTTTTTTTTTTTTTTTGTTGTAAAAAATACTAAAATATTCATTTCTTCTGCACTTTTATTTACTAGCACAGAAGGCAGAGCTGTTTCTCTACAAACGGGGGAGAATCAAAATTTTTAGGATCTCTGTAAACAGATTTGGTCAGAATTATTTCTGTTAATTGGCACAGTCCCTTGATGACTGTCAATACACCAAACACGTGTTTTGCATAACCAATAAGAATGCGCCTACCAAAAACGGGAAAAAGTAAGAAACACACGTACATTCATTTATTTGTTATCAATTCAGGTATTGTAAGTACATTTTCTGTCAATTTTTTGGGCTTTTATGTAAGTGGTTACTATTCTTTTTGTTCACAGGAGTATTGGTAGTGAAACTACTTTCCTCTCTGTGCTAGTAACTAGCGACAGACAAGGATGTCAGTTCATTATTTAAAGTAAACTGAATTGTGAGAAAATTCTTCACTCTTTAATGTTATGTAGCTCTATAGGTACATCTAAACTCAATCCAGTGAGACAGTTTTAGGACATTTTCTCCATAGATTATTGGCACAATAGCACACGTACCGGTATGTAGATGTTCAACATTGATTCAGTTTTTTGTTGGCGAGTCTGGATATTTAAGGAAGGAGTTATGAGGGGTTGTGCTGAACACCTTGTTGGAGATAGACCTAGTGGAAGAAAAACATGGCTTTGGGCCCAATAAAAAGCTAAATAATGTAGTCCTTGATGAAATTGGAAATACCCATGTTTACTAACCCCACACTTGGGACAAAGTACCGGTAGGCATACTGGTACTGTAGGGCCTTTTAACATAACTAGCAGTCATCAAACGTAAAAGATTCACATAAAAAAATGCCTTTCATATATTTGCATTCCACAAGCTGTGTTACCCAGTGAATCAAAGATAAACCTCTATATAGACCATTTCCGGTCCTTGCATGACTAATGAGAAGAGCATCGGGTGATTTTGGCGACAGGTGTTACAGCTACCTTTCAATTTTGTGTGTTTCACATTGAATATGGACAAACTTTTCACATTTTCTTTCTGAATCACGCTTGGATGTGCAGTCTTTGCCAATGATATTTTCAATATTTTATTGCTCATATTGGTGAAATGTAAAAGAAAATGTAATATAACGTGTCGACTTGTACTTGGTTATTCTAATAATCTGCTTAGAATAGATGATATTCTATAGAAGTGCGAGTCGAAATATTATTATTTCATAATCCATATATATATATCCATAAATATATATATTTAGTATCAATCATTTTCATATCACAGCTTTTATTTGTATGCAAATGAATATTTAGTTCATTGTAAGCTAATAAGCATACGTGGCACAAAAATATTTTGCAAAAAGATAAAAGTAGTTGGTTCGCACGCCTTGTCAAAGCCTGGTGCGTTTAATGAAAGGCGAATGCATAAAAATTAGCACACCATTGTATTTTTCTGAAACATTCGTCTGTTTATGTATGCGGACTATTCAAAGACAGGGAAGAGCACTTTTAATTCTCCCTTCACTTGGACATGATGTTTACTGTCCTTGTTATAGTTGCATGATACAATAATTCCTAAGAGACTCACTATCTGTAAGTGAATAGGTTTTACGAGTCAACTCTTTTAGATCAATATACATAGTGTTATCAGGCAGGAAAATGCAAACTTAAGGATAATAAGCACATGCACAAAAAAGTTTTTGTAAGGCTAAAAAATGCATTTTTAAAGATTTATCAATATTGATTATTTTAATGTTTTAATTCTAAGATAGATTGTAGGCCTACAGGTTACACAATATTGTGAAGTTTCAACAATTAAAAACAGAAGCTTTGACAGATAAAACTCTTCTATAGAATATCGAAATAATCCAAAAGAACAAAAGCCTTACGAAGAAATGCATTAATTACACAAAAATAAAGCCACATAATATACTGTCTATAAACCCCCCTTCATTAAAATGTTTACAACGAAACTAAAAATCTCGATAAGAGCTATATTTTAAATTTAACAATAGGTGTGAATGACCTCCTTAGTAAATAAATACATGATGCGTCTTCTCACGCAAAATAAATAAATTAATAAAAGCTAAACTAATTTTCCTTTCAAGAACTGTGAAGATTTCTGTTGTCCCAAATTTTAGAGTGCGTATGAGTACAGCTTGTCGTTATTTTTTAAATGCACTAATCAAAGCTTCGGACTGTAAACGGTTGACGAGATCACTTTCACATGGAAATCCACAACAGGGACTAGAATATCGTTTCAACTGAACTCTTGCTATGAGATCATTTGAGAATAATTAGGTATATCACGTTTTTTCCCTTTACAACTCCGTCACTGGGTCAAATATACACGTAATATTAGAGAGCATCAGCAGATGGTGTAAATTTGACCTCAAGCAACTGGGTCTTCACACGTATCAACACTGGGTCAAATATACACGTAATATTAGATAGCATCTGCTAATGGTGTAAATTTGACCCCAAGCAACTGGGTCTTCTCGGCACCTCGTCTTTCTTTTCAACCTGCGTAAACGGCACGGAACAGGAAGGATATCTAGAAAATAAAGAAGAAACTGGCTAAACCATAAAACATATCACAGTTAGATAGATAAATAAGGAGTGTGATATTTTAAAGATCGATTGATTGAAATGTACAAAACAGCTGTACAAAGTTTTAATTCCCACAGATAATGACTAACATTATGCGGACAAAGCAATCCTCGTGATTGTACACAGGTTAACCCAATCATACGGGTTTCTCACAAAAAAAAAAAAAACAAAAACATTTTTATATCACCAGTTCAATATATATTTACTTTTATTCTTTTTTCGCTTTTGAGGTTCAAAATTAGACAATTTCGCACATGGTAGACAGCATCAAAGGGAGGAAATGTACATAGTAACACAACCATCTGATAAAATTTTAGTAATAGAAACATCAGGCATGCAGAGCTACTGTGATGGAGAAAAAGGATCCTTGAAACGCAGGGACGTGTATTTCTTTACGGAATCGCGTTCAAAACCTCACCTTCATCACTTTCTAATACTGCCGTCAGTCTTGTAGCAACAGATATTTCTTGATTGATAGTGGCAGAGTAGGGAACGTTTGCAGACGTTTGAGGTTATGTCTCATACAATGTCTAATACGAAGTCTTGTTAAATATTTGAGACTCTTTGGCTTCGCTGAAATAAGAACAGATAAAAACTTGAACAGAGCGAGCCAGATAATTTTTATTGTACATTTCATTCTTTGTGATGATTATGAAAATTTTCGTCTGTGAATACTCTTTAAAATCCGTGTCATCCACTTTATTCGTATTGACGCAAAATACAATAGCTAGACAACTGCACAATGTAGATATCATACTACACCGCATAAAATAATTTTCTTGGAAATGCAAACATTCCAGGTTTAGGACTGAATTCAATAGAACACTGGCCTAAACCGCACCACAGCCGAACCCTCGTTTCACAACAAATAAAACTGTGGGATTGGATATTTTCCCAACAACAAGTTAAGAGCTGTGAATGCAACGAAATATGCGAAAGACAGTGGGATTAGGTACCCTCTACCAGGGCGAGTGATAGATTTTTTACAGATATTCACAGATATGTCTCCAGCTAGATAGATGGTCATTTAGGGCTCAACTCAGTTAGATAGAGCCCTAAATGACCATCTGTCTATCTAGAGACATATCTGTGAATATCTGTAAAAAATCTATCACTCGCCCTGGTAGAGGGTAGGGATTAGGTAGGGCATACGACCCCATCCTTCCCCAGGCTAAACATGGCGCTTTTGTTACAAGCATGCCAAAATAAAACGTACTTGTTTTGATTTATACGACCCAAAAAGGCCTACGCATTGCTTAAATCATTAAATTAATTTGTTGTAGGCCTACTAAAAATTTCGAAATGAGTAACGATGCCGTACTTACGGAGATAGCGTATTTCATAGTTAATATTGGCCTTCAGGGAAAAGTATAAAAGACCAAAACACGAAGAGTGCAGGCAGTCTATTCAAGCACAGAAAATATGTTGCCGGCTGCACTTACCATTTTTCTCAGCTTCTACCCACGTCCTCTGCCTGTCTGTCAATGTAATAGATTTTGGAATTAAATCAAAGGGTGTAGACCCGTCGTCTGCTCGACAGTTCATTAAGTCTATCGCTCCTGATAGATATTCTAGAGTATCTAACCGTCCTTTTTCTGCCGCAATGTGAGCGGGAGAATAACCCATTTTGCTCCGTAAAGTGACGTCTGCTCCATGTTTTAAAAGAACTTTCATTGTGTCTAAAAACCCTTGCTCCGCAATATCGTGGGCTGGAGTTCGATATGAACTTAAATGCAGGTCTTGAAAATGTTTGTCTTGGATGTTGGGATCTGCCCCGTGCTTTAGGAGGATCTCCGCAATGTCTGGTCTACTACACTTGAATACCTGAAAAGTTCACCACTGATTTTAAAGAACTTGAAAAGGAAGTTTTATGAAAAATACATGATCATCCTACATGTAACTTTACTATTGCATAAATGGATTTGCTACATCAACTTTGATTATGAAAAGAAAAAATATCAAAAGTAACAAATTTATCAAAGTTGAATTTATCATGAGTATGTATTTTATCCATGTAGAGCGGGATATGTATTAGCCAACAAAGGAGTAACGGTTTCATGGGAGCTTATTGTACTGAGTAATGTACCCACCGTGCCTATGCCATTGTAAATATACATTATATCAAGCCCGATTTCGCACCCCATTGTCACACTGTCACAAACCTTACATCCAGTTGAATATTTATTCTGTCACCATAATTTGCTGCGATGTTATCCCAATAATGCAACTATTTTGATTACGGTTGGAAATGAAGTTGCTTTTTTCTTTGTTAGCTGAACTTCCTATAAAAACTGATACGCTTTTCATTGTTCAGTGTGAAAATATATCACATGAAAGCAATTGTATTTTTTGGTCCATTTCAGTGGAGTTAGTGTGAGACAGGAAAATAAACCCATGTCACAAGACCAACTTAAATATAGTTCACTAAATTTCTCATGGTTGACACATAATCGCTGTCCATTCTAGTTAGGCCACTGATAGTTCCATGGACAAAAAATTACTTTCTTTTTCCACAAAGGCCCACTGCAGTAAATGCATAGGTTATGAACATGTATACGGTAGTAGCTTAATTTTGTGTAACGAATAAAAAATAAATGTTTTATGTTAGTCTTACATATCGAACTAATTAAAGAAGCTGGTAAAAGTAAGACACAAGATCTTTAATGTAGGATGTTTGCTTATGTAGTGAAGGAAAGGATCTATATTAGTCATTTAAATGTGTGTAACTATATTTTAATAGCCGGCCATATTTGACTATATATTAACATGGCACAATATTTATATCTGTGTAACTTATTTACTTATCTGTCTTATGTAATTGTCATTAATCGTAATTATCAATGTCATCAAACTGGCTTTGAACAGCCATGTAAACAGCTATGTAACGGTGGTTTTAAGTTTTTTAAAAAACATTCTTTTTGTGTAACATGTTTATAGTATGTTTATGGTAAATTTATAATCACATCAAGGTTTATCTCATTGCCTAGATAGAATATTTTATGAGTAATTTTACTAGTACTTATCTTCATTATATAAAGATGGTAATGCACTAACTGTATTGTATCGTCATTTGTATATCATATTGTACAAGGTCATGACAATCTATGTACCAGTACAGAAATAAATTGAATTGAATTGAATTGAATTGAATTAATCCTTCCACTATGAAGAAGCTACTTAGAAGCTAGAAAAATAAGATACAGTATAATTTGTATAACTAATGAAGGGTATTTGTTTATACCGTGCAAGAAGGATGTTTAAAGAGGAAATGATAATCGTCGCTTGATAGAAAAGACCCTTGGAAAAAAAGAAACTTGATAGCACGCCTCACTGATTCATAAACCTGTACTATGCCTGTGCTATGCAAATAATAAAAATGAAGCGTAAAGCGTAGCATTTCGTTTATCAGTAACAGGTCAGCCAGTGCGCTTTGCAAATATGTCAAAATATTCAACGGCTTATTCTGCATAATCAAGTATTTACTTTATATGTTTTGTCGGCGTTAAGAAAAGATAACAAGTGGGCGTTTTCTTTTATCGTTCTAAGTGATAGCACTAAATTGTACATAGTGTGGTGACTCGCATCTATTCTTGACTGAAAAACCGTAATATCTAATCTGCACTTCAAGCTAGGTTATTTATCAATGAATGAATTAACATATGAACATTGTACTTCTGAGCTCATTTAGCAAATATTGTCTATCATCTTTAAGTGACATGATATATGACTTATTATTTGCCTATGAAAATTTGATGTTTGTGAATGGAAGAAAGGGGTTAATTGTATTTTTCACAGGATACAAAACGAAACAAGCGCCGTATTATTAGTAACATTTCACAATAAACACTTCATATTTGTTTGAAAAATGCATTGAAATTTTAAAATTCTAAGATACCCACACATCGATTAAACAATATTATCCGTCTTACACAGACATACATAGTAAGAGCCACGTGGACAAAGAAGGGGGACATTTTATAAAGACACATCTGTCCTCTTTCTTCAAACAAAAACTTATTCTGAGCCTCATCTCCTGCCCTAATCGACACACCAACCCCTGCTACCCCTCCTTTCGAATACTGAGTTTTAATTCATGCACGTCATTTCGCCTCATAATTTGATTATCTACATTCAGGCTTTTTCGTACATGTCTTTATTTCATACTGGAGACGTAACGGGAGCAAGACCAGAAAAATAGTGCCAACTTTTTTGTATGGACTTTCAGCAGACGGTAGCTATTTTCCTGGTGCATAATAAATAGTATATTGAAATTAATTAAAATATTAATAAAACCTTGAAAAATAAACAAAAAGGATAGTACCTGTATTGCTGTTCGCCCCCAATCGTTCGTGGCATTGATATTTATGCGGTGCTCATCCAATAGTTGCTGTAATCTGTGAGCGTTTCCGTTGACGGCGGCATTGAAAAACTCTTCTAACGACGCATCATGTTCTTCGGTCATTTCTAGAACAAAGGCATGTTTTTAGCAGTCGACAACAAAAAACTATAAATAAACGTTATATACAGATAGGCGTGCATTCAATCACACATGGTACTTTATAAACCCATCAAGAAGTCCTAGACGTAAGGATCGTTCATAGTCAGATCTTATACAGATATAACTGATTTAGCTTTGTCCAGGAACTAAAAAACCACATCGTCAAAGTTTATAATTGGTCTTTTCTACGCTTTCCCTTTGAATGGTGCGTTGCAGGATGGGGGTCAATTTCCAAAACAGATGCTAGTATTAAAGAGCCCTGCTTTCCCCAAAGGTATCTAAAGGTAGGTGATTTAAACCACGTACGCGTATCAGCTAAGACTAGACCGGCGTCTGGAAAACAGCTGTCTCCTCTACCGGTCTGGCTGAATCCCAATATTAATCTGCACAGGTGAACCTGAGTAAATTTTACCCTATGTGTTTTAACGGGATTCTAAATAGGCCTAAGGCCTACTTCTTTTTTTAAAAAAACCCCTAGGACTGATTGCCGAGAGTGAGGAAATCCAATGTCTATTCGGATCAGTGAATTAGTATTGTATCAAGGTGACGAACTGTTTAAAAAGGATAAATTGTACTCACCTTTATGGTCTAAAACTCCGTCGACCATCGTGAACATAATATAATACAGATGCATCTAGACGCACTTGGCTTAAAATATTTTCAACGTCCCATGACTAAGTTGATCTAAGTTCGCCTAGACTTGTTTGGGCTGCTCAACCGTTATTGGCCAGTCTCTGAGGTGAAACACTGATGATAATAGTGGATCTTGGCAGAGGTTCAAGTTCTGTACGAAACCGACGCGCAACATTCAAAAACGGTGGATTATGCAAAATAGATGTCTTGTTAAAAACAATAGCAACCCAAACAGTTTATTTAGTGACTTATGAAAAACCTCATTAGATCGTAAGCTTTCACGAATAATAGGGGGAAATATTGATTGTGCCTTGTTGTGGTGAGTAATTGTGCATGGTCCAATGTAAACAAACGTTTGGGCTGTTCAGGCAGGTGAATAGTGACGTCACTCCCAGGTGTAAACAAATGCATCAGGTAGATGTCGTGAAAAATCTTTAAAGTTAAGGACAGATTATTAAATAAAACCACAGTATCCAAGATAGATAGGCACCAATACTCTCAAATTATCCGTTTATGAATGAGACGGGCATTTCTATCTGCAGGATAAACAATTACGACTTGCCAGTGAACGTTTCGAGCATGCGCAGGGAAAGTACACAACAATGGCAGAAGACTCAGACAGAAATCGTATTTTAGCTGATTTTCAGGTAAGAAACTGATGGAACTCTACGATTATCCATTGAATCATGCTGTCGTCGGTTTTTATTCATCTACCGAAAAATGATCTTTGGATATATGGGACTCTCTAGCATATAAGATGATAATCATGACTTTACGAAATGGAACATTTTGAATGACTCAGTCTCTCACATAGTCATTCGAGAGTAAAAGACTCTATAAAATGTCTGTGCATAAAGTTTGGACGTAAATAGTAAACCGTGTGTGAAGTTCTCATCCCTTCTACTCCACATTCTGGTACTTTATCTGATCATTCTGAAATGAATATTTAATTTCAGTAAAGACAAAAGAACACTTTCTCTCTGTCACTGAAAAGTGTGCTGCTGACAAAATGAGATCTATTTGATTTAAAAAGAAGCATTGTTTCATTTTCTAAATGTGAAATACACAAATTTCTATGATAGATATTTCACTGCTTGTTTCCTAGCTGTCTTAGTGTCTATAAAAATTAGTGCTCAGTTATTCAGTCAAATTAAATAACTAATGAAGAACTTTGAGAATTCAGTTATTATATTGATTAGTGAATACATAAAACCAATATTAAGAAGGACACACTAAGTTATCCTGTTATGTTTTTATATAACACACCCAGAGAATACAGTTTTGATCTTTTTATTTTTAAGGCATGTACAAACATTGAAGACATTGGTGAGTGCATTGCAGTACTGGAACAAAATGAATGGAATCTGCTGGTGAGTTGAATGATTTGGATATTTAAGTTGAGTGGGTAACTGCATACTTGAAATGCCTGCTTTTTAGAAGAAATTTAATGATGGTTTATGAACTGGACATTATTCTGTTTATGTTCAACTAATTCTGTACAATATTCCTTAGCTTTTTTGTATGACACATTACTGTATGTGGACATCACTTGCACCTGCCTTCGTTGTCCATGTGCACTTTCTTTTGACAATTTGATGGGAAGTGATGATCAGACACTGTATTGCAGCATAGGTTTTCTCGACCTTGGCTGTGAAGTTGGTTTAAATTTGAAGGAGTTCGAAGCATGTTGCATTAAAATCTCATTTAATCTGACTTTTAGAATATCATTGTAGATATTCCCAGTTATTCCCAACTTTTCAGCACAGCTAATGGTATTTTAAAAATATTTTTCCATATAATTAGGGTGCCATCAACAGTGTCATGGCCCACCTTGGATCCCAGGAACTGCCATCAGAGGCTAGCTATCCACCATTAGAAGTCCAGGGTCAGGGTCTAGGATCACCTGTAGACAGCCCTCCACCTGATTATCAAGTGTTCCAGCCCCAACCACAAGAGGAGCCAGGCTCTTGTGTATTTAATCCCCATGCTATGACCTCTGATCGTGACAGCACGCCGCCAACCAGAATGTTAACTTTTAATGTGGAATACAGGGATAGGAATATTCCAGTGGTGCTTCCGGATACAGAAAAAGTTGGTAAGTGTGTTCGTTTGGTTGTTATAGAGATTATGTTGAAGGGGAAATAAGTCATGCACTGTTTCTTTTGGCCAAACTGACTACTTGTTTGTTTTTACTTGCTGTCTGTAAAGGACAGTCATGTATTACGGTATAGATGAAATATGTTTCATTCACACATACAGTTGTCACATGATAAGCTATGTGTCCTTTCTTAGACATTACTGAAATGGGGTTTTGTTTTAGTGAAGGAAGTCTGATGTTCATTCACTTTTTTGTGTTTCAGAGACAATCAAACAGGTACTTCATGGTCAGATAGGGAATATCCCCATAGAGAAGATGGTTCTTAGAGGATTTCCTAACAAACATGCTGAAGATTATGTGAGTTTTTGAAATTTGTCTATGTTCGACATTTCATGACAGTTTGGGCTTTTTCAGGGTGTAATCAGCTTATGTTAATAGTTTTCCTGTTATTGTAGCTTTGTACTTGAAACTGCCTGCCAATGCTTAATAATAAAACGTAAGAACCAAGTTATTTACCTTTTGTTAGACCATGCTGAGGCTCCTTAACCTGCCACAAGAGACCACCCTGTACTTGTTGACACCAGGATTGTATTCTCATATGGGAGACACAAACAACTCTCAGTCAGCTGAGAGGTAAGTGATCATTGCTGTCTTTGCAAAGTGCATAGCACAGGAAAATGACAACACCAGTTTGGTGCATCTTGTTCTATGTGAACCATTTAACTCTCATGTTCAGGACACCTTAAAAGAAATAAAAACTTTTCCCTACATACATTTAAATATATACTGTCATGTTGCTTAGAAGTAAAAGTCAGTTTAATTTTGTTTAATGCCATTCAAAAGCACCTTAAATTATTTATTTTTCAGCTCAAATATTTTGGAAAGGTTATCACAAAATTTCACATTAAACATAAGATTCAGAGACAAGGATACCACTTATAAGCTTAATTTCCCTGGCAGTAGGACAGTGAAAGAGGTTAGTAAATTAGCTGTTTAGCTGGCAGTTTCACCAGTGATAGTCTTTTACACATACTTTATAAATATTTAATAGGTGACTTGTGTTTTGGTATGTGTAATGCCTATTATTGATCTTTTGTTTTTAACCTTTAACATAAATAGTTGAATTAGTGAAATGTTTGAAAGAAAAAAGCTTACTTAAGTAAGCATCAGCATGTTTTGTATGACACCTTTAAAACTTGTTATTTGCTATTTCAGGTTAAGAATGATGTAGGTGATGTAATAGATGTCCCAGTAAGACTTCAGAAGTGGACAGGATGGCCAGACTCTGCCAGTGATGAAACTGTAAGTAAAATATCAATCTGTAAATCAACTTATTACTAATATATGTACAGAGTTTAAGCTTCAAGAGTATGCAAATTTTGAATAACTACCCAATGCAAATTGGGATAGCCCTTCATTTGTTAGTTGACATATTTATACTGCCTTCTGTATAAAGCATTGGTTCCTGTTTACCTGAAAAAGATTATACCATTTAATCTTCATTTTTCTTGACAGATGACATTAGCTGGTTGTGGTGTAGGTTTCCCATGTCATAATTTAGAAGTGTCTAGAACCCAGAGAGAACCTGCAAGATTGCGGCATCTGCCAATGGTAAGTCTTAACAGAACATACTGCTGCATGAGATGATGAGATGGTCTCATAAAAAGTGAATGTAATTCACCTATTAGATACACTTCTTCAGGAATAAAAATGACTGATTTTATCATTCTAAACTTTCAAACGGCTCCCCACATTTATCACAACTTTACTTCTTTAAAGTTTTGGTTGTTGTCCTTTTATAAGTTTCAGCCTCTACTGTTCAGCAGGTGTGACATAGATTCCTTTAAATTTATTTTGCGCCTTGTCAGGATGTAGCAATGGATGTCGGTAGCAGTGAAGATGATTTTGAAGATGCTCACGAGTCCCTACCAATGGATGATGATGACATTTATGATGAAGATGTACCAATGTCTAGGAAACTGGTGCCTTTAAGTAAGTGCCATATTGAAACGAGGTATCACCTGTTGGGATTTTTAATATTTTCTCTTTATGGCTTAAAGTGTTTAAAAGCGTTTGTTTGTTGCAAAAGAGACATGTTCATAGAATGCTGGTAAAAAAATCCAATTTCAATCATTTTTGCTTGTTATGAAGCATCAAGCACCGCTCTCATTGGAGTGACAGAGAGAGATGTAAACCGTACAACCCTTTCTCCATCTAAACCAAACCCAGTTAATAATTGATGAGGTTTTATGCAAACAGCAGCACATATGACATTGTCCTGTATTTAATTGTGATATCTTTTTCTTTCAGTGCCAGATGATGTAGGTGATGAAGTTGCAGCATTAGAACACTTTAGCAGAGTATTTGCAGAAAGGTAATGTAACCTTATGTAACCTTATGTTCTTGTTAGATATTCTTCAGATAGTAATTGTTTTTATATATGAAGAGGACATAGTTTTTCGGGAGGGGGGGGGGGGAGTTTTTAAAGTGCAATTTTTCATCCGCCTATGTATCAAGATCAAAATTTTATCTAAATTTAAATATGCCAGAAATTAATCAAATTTCTAGGTTTTGGTTTAACCATGGTACTCATTTAAGAAATGTAGTACAAGACATGATGATATGATGTATCTTTTTGTGTTTCAGATATGGAGATATACATCCTGTATTTTTCATAGGGAAATTAGAAGATGCAATAAAGGAGGCTTTAGCTTGTAAGGCAAAAGATGTAAGTCATGCATTAATGTGAAATAAATATGAAATGTTGTGATGATATGAAAAATTATCTGAATGCACTGACAATTAAAAAGACTAATTGTTTTCAATAATGGAACCCCATAATTCTTTCTGTTTGCTATAGTGAGAGGAAGCTTAAACTCTGTTGTTGCTGTAATATATTTGGGATAAGCCAAAAAGCCATTTTCATCATAATTTAATCCTTTTGTTATATTAAAGGAAGTAGAATTGTTTAAAGTTCTTAAATTAATTCTTTGATATTTAAAATGCTTTTTTGTTTGAATTTGGATAATGTTATAACACAATTCCGTACTTGCAATGCTGAGATGCATGTAAAGAACAATTTTATAAATTGAATTATTTGTCAGTTCTTAATGTTTTCAGAGAAAGCTTCTGGCTATTTACCTTCACCATGACAGCAGTATTCTGGCAAATGTTTTCTGCTCCCAGATTTTGTGTTCAGAGAGTGTGGTCAGCTTTTTAAGTAATAACTTTATTACCTGGGCTTGGGATTTAACATCGGAGGCCAATAAAGCAAAGTAAATGTTTTTATCTTTAAATATGTGATTCTTAATCATCCATGATGTACCATATAGCTAGAAATCAAGTTATCAAATTCATGTCTCAATTTTGCAGGTATTAAAAATACCTTTCATTGAAATGCAGTCTGTAATGTAAGCCACTGGTCCTGTACCCACAGCCGATAAAATTTTGTTTAGAGTAGTAGATTTTTCAGAATGTGTGAATTTAGTGTTTTGACATGGCCATAAATGTTTCTGTATAAGTTTTCAAAAGAACTTTCAATTTGATTTAAATTTTTTTTCTGAAATTTAGCTGTTACCTGATGATTCTAAATAAGATGAAGTTATTGTTTGAGAAATCAAAGTTGTATTTTTACTAATATCAGTTCAATAGGGGAGAATGTCCAGTCTTATTGAGATTTTTAAACAGTAAATCCTGATTTAGACCAGCAGATTTTAGGAAAAAGGTGGTCTGAATAGTCGGTAGGTGAAAAGTATATGGCACAAAATGGAAATGGCAGACTGCAAATATTCCACTTGGGTGTAAAATAGTTACTTATTGCCATGGACTTTTTAACTTGCAACTTCGAGTATGTAGTTGGGTACCTCTGGCTGTAATTTTTTTCCATATTATTGTAGGTGTTTAACCATGTGCACAAGGGAGTTTGGCAGCATGGCTGCACAGACTGTACGGGATTTCAAGACAGATAATTTGCCACTTTTATTACTTATTACAAGAACACGATCAACAAATGAAGTAGTAAATGTAATACAAGGTAAGTCTTGTTCTGAAGGTAGCAATATTCAGTATTTGTCTGTGGGCAGAGGGGAGATCATGGCATTTGGGTATCCCTTTGTTATCAGCAGCCTTCATTCTTCATGTTACTGATATAGAATTTATTGAGGAATATATTTGATGTTACATAACCTTTGAATATTGATTAGAAATTTATTGAATTTTGTGTCTTTTTGAAAGATGTAAATCTGTTTCAGGGATAGCTTCACTAGATGAACTAATGACTAATCTCATAAACGCTGTAGATGTCTTCACAGAGCAACAGAGGGCAGATGTTTTAGAGGAGGTCAGTAAGTTGGTTTTTATAAAGATGTAAATTCTGTTTTAGTCCTCATAAAAATAATAATAATATTTTAATATTAATAAAATTTTTAAAAAACAATACAACTCGCAAAAAAATAACAGTAGGTATCTTAATGCATGTGAACATGTTTGCAGGAAGAAAGAGATGCCCGAGAAAGAGTGAAATTTGAGCAGGACAAGGCATATGAAGAATCTTTAGCTGCTGATAGAGCAAAAGTAAGGAATGTACTTACAGAAAACTTAATTTATACAGCCATGGGCTTTGATATCATTCAGAAGTGTCAGTAGCCAGTGTTCTATTTATCAATAACATTTTGAGTAGAGAATCTCTCACTATTTGTCAAATAACCTGAAAAAAAATTGAGAAACGAAAAAGTTACTCTTGCTGGGGGAATGCTAGTTTTAATACAAGTTAACATATTTATAACATCTTTGTAAACAGATTTTGATTATCACTAGCAACCAATTTTTAACATGGGGTACCTTTTTTGAAAATACATTGTAATTTTAGGAGGAATCTAAAAGGCTAGAGCAAGAAAAAAGATTTCAAGAAGAAACAGAGAAGGAAAAGAAAAAGTTGGAAGAAAGATTACAAAGAGAGCAGGAAGAGGCTGAAAAAGAGGTATCAGTTTGGCTTTAAGTGAAACCATTACAGTCATTTTACAAAATATTTTAAAAATGAACCATTTATCTGAATGATTGATTAAAAAAAACAGGGTCTTCATATTGTGTTTTTTGTAGTTTAGTAGACATCCTATGGATCAAAGGCGTTCCATTACAACATGTATACATGTATTATCTCTGTCGACGTATATTCTGTAGTCCACCCATTGTCCCCTGAAAACCTCTGTTTAAAGATGTATTGCATTATCACCATGTTGTATGCAGGCATTATGCATGTTGTTTGCTCAAAAACTGTATTTTATGATTCTTTAGGCTATCCAACAATCTTTAGCAGACCAGCTACCAGATGAACCTCCAGCTGATAGCAAAGAACCAATCAGTATACTAAGAATCAGAATACCTGGTGGGGAGTTTATTACAAGGAGATTTCTTGCCAAGCACCCCTTACAGATTCTATTGAACTTTATTACATCCAAGGGCTACCATATGGAAGAATACAAGGTGCTAACAACGTATCCAAGGAGAGATGTAAGTAATTTTAAAATTGTCCTCTTAACATGTTCAGTTAATGTAATTTAAACTAGTAAAGTTTTCTTTACTCTTTCTTTCTTTTACAGGAGTGGGTTGAATTAATTGAAGTCTTAACATTTTTTCAAGTTGATTTTTAAAAAATGAAAGTGGAATAAGAAAGACATTTCTGTTCATAGGTGACAGATGTTTAGAGAGGAAGCATAAGTCTTTGAAGTCAGGTAGTATGGCTGTGGTTTATTTATATGGATTTCCATTGTACAAGGAAGTGGACCTGATGGTCTTTTTTATTAAAAAAAGTGTATCTGGAACATGCGTTTCTTTATTTTCTTCAGATATCAACACAAGATCCAGAGAAGTCCTTAGAGGAACTCAAACTTTTCCCACAAGAAACATTAATGTTAGAGGAAAAGACAGTGGAATAACATTGCCCAGTGACCATGTTACTGTGATAGGTTTTGATCCAAGTGTCATAAAAGGCAAAACAGGTGCTATTTGGCGCACATACTGTGGATAGAAATTCTCTTAAAGTGACAAAATGGTCTAGTCTGGACCCTGGTATAATACTGAAGATGCATTATATGTACTGTATAGTCCAAATACACTTGACTCTGTACTCTAGCAGATAATATTTATTACTATTGCCTGATGCTCTTGCTGTCTTGACTGTTTTCTTATTTGGTCAATGGTAAATTTTTTAATGGAAAATTAAAGAAAAAAAATATTGCTTTTTATTTTAAATATACAATTTATATAACATGAAATTGTGAAAAATATAATCAGTTCAGTGACAGCAGAATTCCACTTTTAACAGAAAACATGTAAAAGAAAAGTCAGCTTTCACAAATGTTGCCTTGTAAACAGAGAAATAAAATTTATGATGCTGACAGTGTTTTGATACGATTTATAGCAACTAAAAAAGGATTGCCATGATTGCAACTGGTAGATTTTGATGATCTTTGACAGGAGTCGAAACTTGAACATAACAGCTTCTGAGCCCAAATAATTGGTGTTCTTCTGTAGCAAAGGTTGTAGTTTATTTATTTGAGCTGTCTCATCTCTGCTCAAGGGCTCAGTAAATTTTCAGTGGGACCATTATCAAGTAATAAAAGGCAGGAACACTTGAATTTTGAAAATTCCCCATTCACAAATTAATGAAAAGGAAAGGTAGAAAGGTTAACTTGAATAGAACAGCTTATATTTCATTATAAGTGAAAAATGGTAATAGTGATCACATTCACCCACAAGGTGGTAATAGTAGAGCATGTCTCTGTGTTAAAAATTCACAATGATTCTTGTACACAGTATCATCTTAATTTTGTTTATCCCATTTTAACCTTGATTAATCCTTATATCATTCATAACTTTTAATTTTGTTACAACTATACTGTTTTTTGTTTGGAATTTGAATGCCCTTCCCTTTTGTATTGTTGATACTTTTGGCCGCAAATTACTATTTTGTGTACTTGATATGCCAATAGTTATTCTTTTCTATAGAAACCACTGACAGTGCAATATCTACCACTAACAGTATACTTGTACTAAAACTTTATATTACGCCTAAATAGCAATTTAAGGAAGACTGCAGTAAAATGAGATGTTGGTGATCACTTTGCACTTGTTCATCCTGCAATTCCAAGTTTTTGACTCGATTTGTACCAGCATAGAAATAGTTGTTGAAGGTACAGGTATGCCATTTTTAACTCCATGTGTTCTGTATTTATTTTCCCTGCCTACAAAAGGTATTCATCTCTGAGCATCAAGAAACAATTACAAGCCAATAGAATTTTACCCATAGTGTGTGACGTACATATTTAAAAAATGCTATTTGACAGAAGTTGTTAAGTATCTGATCCTCGAGGTGAATCACATCTGTGCTCACGGAATTAAATCAGGTCAACGTAGATGTACCCTAAATTGTAATATACAGTTAATATTATAGTATTCAGTTTTCTAGATACTGCAGGTTCATGGTATTCTTCAACTGAGATATACCAGAAAGCCACTCACCACTGCGACTTTATAAGAGTTACTGCAAGGGTTGGATTGTTTAATACACAAGGGCCCTTTAAAAATAAATGTTGTTTCTGTTATAGAAAATTCTGGTGTTACAATTGCGATTATTGTATTTATGTGAACTATGAATAAAAGCTGGATTGGCTTTATGATTGAACTTTTTTTTTGCTGAATTATCTATTCTTTGTTGATATTTTCTATGATATTCAAAATACAGAGACAATTTCTGAACTACTGCAAGTGATGTGAAGTAACCTGGTATGGTATACTCTTTGAAAAGATTTTAATCAAGTTGTGATATCATTTTATTTTCATTTTAAACCATTTTTTCTACCAGTTTTAAGACATCCCAAATCATAAAAAAATCTTTTGTGCCATTTGTTTTTGTGTACACGTAGATCATCTGGTGTGTGTTCCTTTTTTTTTTTTAAGAGAAAATATATAGAATGTAACTTGAAGTACTACAAAAGTTGATAATATGTTATAGTAACACTAGCAATAACAGAAAAACAGAGCACACTGTAAAACTCAGTGTCACAGGAATACATATTTACAGAAACAAATCTGGTATTTCCACAAGTATTTGATATTTTTTGGATTTATTCTCATATTTTCAGATGACAGACTTCTGCTAATGATGGAAAGATTATTGTAATTGATCAAATTCATGTAAAATCATACAAGGTTGTCACACATATAAGAAAAGAGTATTACGCATTACTTAATTTCTTTGATACTGTAGAAATTAATAATCAATTGATTATTACACTGCAGCTATAAGCAGTGGCTTTGTATTGTCCATTTTTTAAAGGTTTTAACAAAATAATTTTGTTAAAACAAAATAACCTGTTTGTAAATACCTTTGTGCTAATGAGTCTTCAAATTATATTAACAAAAAGTGCTAATGACAATTTTGAGCAAGTTCTTTATCACAAATATTGGAATATCATAGTTCTTTTAAAAAGCAAAGATGTTACTAGGACAATGTTTTGGTAAGTAGGTGCCCTTCAAAATGCTATAAAAACATTTAACAAACTGAACAGAAAAATAGCACATAAAATGACTGCTAAGATTTCCTTGTGGAGTATCTGTATCAGATTAATTCCGCATCAACATAAGGGGTCTTTTGGAAATGATTACCATTAATTATGTCACATTTAAAACTCCATTAGTTAAACAATAATAAAATTAAAGTTCACACACCAAGGCTATAAGTATGGTAGTGTGAGGTAGACAAAATGTTTCCTTTAATCTGGAAACTGCATTTGTGTACAGTATTTTAGTGAGTGAATAAGGTGAATTAGACATTGTGCATGAAAAGAAAAGTATGCTATCAAAATTCATGCCAATGGTTATGCTTTTCATATTTCATATTTTTCCATTTAAAGGGAAAATCTCTAAATTTATTGTATCTATGTTTCAAAAATATAAAGAACTGGCATTCAAAATATTTGCAATATACATGATTCAAATTCACATGAAATATTTCAATTGCTGCCTTTTTATAAGTAATATTGAAAAAAGTTTCACAGGGTGCAATTTTTTCTACAGGCTAGAAATAACATTCATGTATAAGTAGAAATTTTGAAATATTTAAGCTTTAAAGTTTAAAATTCCCTACCCCTCTTTAGCATAAGTACAATAAGATATATATATATAAATCTATTATTAAAAAATTAAAAAAAAATAGAGTAAACTGCCCTACACTTTATCTGCAGTAACATTGCATCCTCCCAAGTGACCTCCACCAAACAATTTGCGAACAACACAGAAAAAATACTCTTGTTCAGCGTAGACCTCCTCATTATGGACCCTCACATGACGTGTTTTGTTTGCCACATACTCTTCATGTCGACTTTTCACAAAATCTGTCCATTTTTCTGTCTCATCAACAAACTGAAATATGCAGGAAATGGTTTATATAAGAGAGGACATAAATGAATACATCAGTGGTGAAACTGGCGAGTGCTTTGGTAATTTTCTTGTTCTGCTCAATATGAATAAGAAATAAAAATGTTCCCATATAAATTAGAACAAGTTATTATAACTTTCTTTGATAAGTTATTTTAATCATTTATTTTATTTAAAAATATTGAATTCGGAATTACTCTGTCCATCAAACTTAACCATAATGATAAAGTACATAGTGTTTGCTTTAAGGGCAAGCAATGTCTTTGAAATACACATTAAAATGATACAAAAAACTTGGTTCATTTGTTACTTTTATGTGTTTGAATCCAGCACTTTCCAAGAGACTGATGTATCTTTCCTTGGACGGTATATCAGAAGCATAGACAGCTGAAGACAGTTTTTCTATTTCTGCTGAATCAAAAGGTTGGGACTCAAAAAAGTCGGCAGCAAACCTGTGCAAAATTAATAACATGAAAATAATAAAACAATGCTGAGTGTTTTGATACTGCAATGTTTTAAACCTAAATGAACTGTTCAGTCTGCACTTGATCTTCATGCATGTTCAAATGGGAACTTAGTGTATTTATTAATTATCTTGTACTAAAACTTGACTTACATCTTCCCTCCTTTTTTCAGGTGATACCAGCAATTTTCAAATAATTTTTCTTTGTCTGGAATGTGTAAGTAAGTTAGCCAGCTCACAATCAGGTCAAAGCTTTCGGACCCTGTAAAAATTAGAAGACATAAGTAGTATCTTTAGAGGAATCATGAGTGATAGCCCAGTGATAAATTCATGACTTTGCATAAAATCAAACAAGATTTTGAGTAATTTGGAGTACAGTGGGGTCAAGAATAATGGCAGACTAGTGATTGCATTGAGCCACTGAAAAAAAAAACAGACAATTTATCCTCAGATATTTTTTGGGTCGTTTCCTATTGCAACTTATATGTATCTTTCCAGGACCACATTGATGGTGCACAGAGTTTCACTCTTATTGCTGAAAAGTTTTAACTTTTAAAACCCCACCTCAGGAAGATTTTCACTTTTTTACAGCCAAGAAATGCAGGAATTATAAGAAATATCATTTAACTACTTTTCATTTTGCAAGACAAAACTTCAGATATTTTACCATAATCTGCTTGTAGAAAATCTCCACAGACATGAGTTATATTGTCCTGCAGGTTGCACCTCTTGGTCAAGTCTGTAGCCACTGTATTAAGATCTTCTTGTAGTTCTACAGCTGTGATGTGGCATCCTGTCTTCTGAGCAATATACCTGGCTGGGCCTCCTATGCCAGAACCTATGTCCAAAATGCGGAATGAAGAGCTTTGAATAAAAAAAATTGGAAGCCATTAGTGGGTGAAGAAATGACAAAAATATTGAAACTATAGAGTGTACTCAAGAGATATAAATATAAAAATAAGAACTGTTAAGATACAATTGCTGACATTAAAAATTGACAAGTTCATATTTCACAGACACTAGCTCAAAATCCAACTGAACAGGGACCATTTAGAATAGATGATCTGAGTACCAACTGATCCGCCGAATAAATATGGCCAACCCCACTTCAAAAGCGATGCCGCAGATTCCCAATGGTCTCCCCACCTCCACACAGGCCATTAAATGGATTACATCTCAGCTCTGAGGTTTAATTGCTAGGCCCCTGCAGCACCGGTGTGTGTAGAGGGGGGAGACCATCAAAGAATTGGCAGCATCGCTTTTGAAGTGAGGTTGTCCATATTTAGTCGGCAGATCAGTTAGTACTTAGATCGTCTATTCTGAATGGCCCCACTAGCTACAAGCCAACTTTCTCTTGAATCAACCAATACATGTAATTAACAAAACCAGTTTATACCTTCTATTCAACTCTTTTCACAGTATCACAATTATAGCCAGGTAATATTGAAGTTTTTATGTGATTTCAGGTTTGAAGATTAAACAAAATCACAAAAAAATTTGCATATCACCACCTGCAGTCTTCCACAACTTACTTTATCTTGAGGTCATCTATAGCCTCCTGTACTGCCTGAGTGCCAAAATAGTGGTACTGATCTACTCTACTCAGGTCTTCAACTTTCAGTTGGTCTGTTAAACCATATCCAAGCTAAAATTATGAGATTAACATTCGATCACCGAGCACTACTGCCTTTTACTGCATGCTTCTATACAAATCAATAATCACAATTACAGGTAAGACATGTTTCTTAATTAGTTAATAAAAAGTCACATTTAAGTTTTCAAGAAGACAAAAATCTAACTTCTCATATACTGTAAATTGTAAGCATAAAATTAGATTAAATAATTTTAATCAGATCAAAATCAATAAATCATGACACAAATATTATGACAGTAATCTATCATCCCATGTTCTGATAACCAACAGTAAAACATTTCAACAACACAGATACCGGTTATACTACTGCATATGACCCTCTGCTAAAACATGCCTGGACATATACACAGGAACATGCCTTTTTTACCAGTTATTTCCCCTTGTCTCTTTTAAGAGACAAGGGGAAATAACTGGTAAAAAAGGCATGTTCCTTTGGTTGAAATTATACACAATGTTTCTGTTGAACCAGAAGTGCAGCAGATCTTTTAAGAGACAAGGGGAAATAACTGGTAAAAAAGGCATGTTCCTGTGTATATGTCCAGGCATGTTTTAGCAGAGGGTCATATGCAGTAGTATAACCGGTATCTGTTTTATGAAAGATTAAAATCTTTCATAAAACAGATTGTTTTAGCTTTGAAAAGATACATTAAAGAGATGAGTCCACACAAACTTATCCAGAGAAAATGGCCTTTATGCACCAATAAAGAGAAAGAAAGTCAAAATGTTGAGTGATTTTTTGGGTAAAAAGTAAGTCACATAAAGGGGGGCTTATAATCAGGTCTTTTTTGCACAGTTTATCTCAACTTACCGACTAATTTGAATCTGTTGTTATGTACCAATAAATAAGAAAATCACAAGATTTATACATCAGAAATTGGTTGAAATTATACACAATGTTTCTGTTGAACCAGAAGTGCAGCAGCAGCATGTGTTCTGATGAAATTGTTAACATGGTATAGATGGTAACTTTCAAAAGTATTATTTATATCTTACGTATTTAAATAATAAGAAAAATCTATTACAATGTAACTTACTAGTTTTACACCCTTAGTGTTGCAGCCAATTTTTATGTCAAAGTGTTTGCAGTTTGACAAAGAGCCATATACATTCAGAAACTACTGTAGATTCCTTAATGAACCAAATGTCAACACACCTATGAAAGGCACACAGGAAAAACATTGGGTGTTAGTAATTAAGGGGAAGTACTTTAAAATAAACAAACTGCACATCATTATCAACATATCTATTGTTCATGTGCTAGCATGTGTGTTAAATAAAGTATCATCATGATGCATCTTTGAAGACCTACCGAAAGGATGTAATAAAATAGGATATTACATTTTTTAGTAGATCTTCATAGATGCATCATTATGAGACTTATTTATTTCTTTAAGATCTACATGTATACACTGATTTGATATGAATGTGTATGTGTTAGAAACAGATAATGGCAAATATATGACAAACTAACAGGACCTTAATTATAAAAGTTGTAATATGTTTTGGTGTTCCATAGCAGGTCTAACATTGATCCAGAGAGAAAACCATACAGTAAACATATATCAAAATGTTAGATACCTTGGATCCCACAAATGTTTAACTGCACTGAGTAGTTAGAAAAAACTTTGCTGTTATTCTGCTCATGTCAAAAAGCAAAGGCAACCAAGGTCTTACTTGTAAGCTGTCATTCTGTAATTGAAATCACAAGCACGTTTTTTTTTCCAGTGTTTAAACATACTTGCCTCTTTAAGCTCATTATAAACTCTGTCAACATGTGAATCTGGAAAAAAAATACAACATACAAGTAGTATTAAAAAATAAACAATCTACATGGTCAAATCACTAGAATTATTTTGATTGGTACTAGTACATTAGGGGCCGTAGCGATAGTCCGAAGGTTCAATAGTCCGAAGGTTCATTGGTTCGAATGTTCACTATAGAACCTTCGGACCAATGAACCCTTGATTAAACTTTTCGGGCCAATGAACCTTCGGACCAGTGAACCTTCGGACTATCGAGACGCCTCCATACATTAGAGCTCGTAAAATAGAATAAACCCCCAGTTGTGTAATAACATGTTAGTCAAGCTGGTGGGATACCACTCAAAGTGAAAATGGCCTAAGCAGCTAAGGTCTACAACTAAGGCTCTATTCCCATAGATTTTAGATCGATCTATCCCCGCGGGGAGTCTCACTAGATTACTTTCAGATAATCCGACTTAAATGTCCGTCCCGCCTACTACAAGCTGTAAGGGGTAATTAACTTTCATGTCCGCCCGGCTGACAGCTATTTAGCGTGAACCCCCAGGGAGTTGGGTCGATCTAAAGTAGGTCGATCTAATCTATGGAAATGGGGTGTAAGGAAAATTAGGAAATACTGGTAGCTTGAGGTTTACTGAACTTTACATTAAAATGGTACATGTTGCAACAGTCAGGCATCTCTTAAATGCCTAACATTTTCTCAAAACACTATAGTTTCCAAATAACATTAATTAAAATATTATATAAAAGGTGCTGTTATAAATAAGTCGTATATAGATTTAACAGGTTACAATGAAAAGAGTACTTCAAGCTATTAAACCATATGACCTGATATGACACCTCAGCAGTCACCTGGCCTGAGATAATTTAAGGCCGCCATTTTTGCGGCTTACGTGACATGCCTCAGAGTTCCCCACCAGCTTGACTATCAAGATTTTTAAAACTATTAAATTAAAGATGGAATAAAACACCGAATCCAAGTGCAAGTACGACCACACAACTTAAAGTACTTTGGGAAGGTCGTTGTGGGCCATGCACGTTGTTGTTTATGTTGATTTGCAAGGAGGCGTGTCAGACAATATTTGAAAGCGGATTATATCGATAAACCCCGCTGAGATAGATCGGTCATGCTAGTGCGATAACTTCTAATCTGAACACAGTCTTAGTTTAACTTTGGGAGTTCCTTCAGTTTTGAGACTAAGTACAGCTTTACTCACATAATTTCATAGTTTTAATACGCTTAGCATCTTCAGCTGCAGGGTCTGTCATCTTCACTTTCGTCACAGTGAAAAGCCTGCTTCAATTATGATGGATTGTGGTTCCTAACTGATAAATGTCAGAACAACTTTAGGGGCTGATACTCAAATTAGTACAATCGTGCAAAATGAAGCCCACAGCAAATAACAGAAGGGAGCGGTTTAAAACATAACGCGCCACCTATATACCATTAAAGAAATGCGTCATGCGTGACCTGTCAGTGACCTGTGCCCCCAACCTCATCTGGCATGCCGTACGTTGTAGGTTTCAAACTCATTGAGCTCACGACACACTACAGGTGTGTGGAGTATTAGAAGAGGCAAATTCTCTTTACCATAGGCGCATGAAAAGCAAATGTGTGTGTGTGTTTGAATTTGTGCGCGTGTTTGTGTGTGTGTGTTTTGTGGGGGGGGGGGGAGGGCTAACTGTTAAAAATTAATTAATCAGATGATTAAAATCATTAAGTGAACAAAAGAATCGTTTATCCGGGTGGAACTTTACTTACACCAGTCTAGCATCTTTAATCGCTGAAAAAAATATATATTTCCAACTTTTCAAGGAGCGAGTCTGATGTCTAGCATCTCAAAATGTCTAGAATTTTTATTTTAAATAGCGCAATTGAAATTGTTATTTACGCTGTGTCGCCCGGCCTTTAACAACCGGAAAAATAAGGCCTACTTTTCGACATTTTTGCCGCATATCATTATTTTAGTTGTTTGATGTTTTGTCATATCTTATCCATTAATAAAATCTTCAATTCAGTGATTAGCTAGACGATATTGTGACAGGGAACAGTCAAATATTTTACATGAAACACGGCAAAATTGTATATTCTTAGAAAGTAATTTGCAAAACCTTCATTTCCAGGCATTGTGAAAAATGTACTTGAAGTTGAGGGAAAAAATGTATCAGTAAAATAAACGCACATGTCTTGATGCCTCTTCAACGCAGTCTAATTTTTGTAGGCATTAAAACGTGCAAATATTAGTCAAATGGGATGTTATTTTTAAAACTTTCGCAACTCAAACCTTCGTGACTGAATACGAAAACTGCACATAGGGCCTACTAGCAAGGCATGAATTCTGTCATCAAAGTTTTAGAAAACGTAAAATTCGCGAATATAGCTTTCACTTCATTTTTCTGTTTTCTTCAAATGTAGGCCTATCTATATATTGAAAATCGGTGATAGCGACTGCGCAAATAGCCTTCGTACATGTTTGACTAAACTGAATTTGCCTGTGATAGGCTACTTGTAAGAATAAAAAGAAAATAATCAAAATCAAACATTTCTAAAAGGTTTACTTTGATTTCCTTTTGATTATAGCTTTCAAAACTATAATGCAGGAGGGCCTATATAATCTGATCCAGTTTTCAATCTTAAGGACGACATTATACTTTTTGTTTTGTAGTCTTAAATAGTGAATCATAATATTGATTAAAAAAGGGAAAGTTTAACTTATCAGAACAACTTTGAATTCCAATTCTGATATTTTTCTCAAATTGAAATTGTAATTTTGATTTTTTTGCGATCTGCTATTAAAAGTCTTCCAAAATACTTGCGTTTGATTTAATTCCCACTGACAAATTCGTTTTGCAACGTCATTAGATAAGGACTATATATAAAGTAGTCATTTAGTGTTAATTTGCTTTATCAAGAAAGTAGTCATGTTTCTTCGTTGGTTCAGTGCACCTGTTTCTGTTGTAGTTTATGTTTAGTTCTGTACATTGTGGTATTGTTTCATCCTTTTCATTGTTTATTATGAATGTGTGTGTGTGCGTGCTTGCAAACACGCTCACGCGCGCGTGTGTAAAATATTAAAATTTTTAAAAACATACCTTATTTAAGTTTTGCAAAGAAAAAGACGTTAAAAATTTCATTTTTTAAATGTCTAATAACATCAGCCTCTTATACATCGTCAGATTAGGATAATGTCTCACTGTCTTCAATATACTTTAATGGCCTTCCAGGGGTGAAGATGTTTAATACCACAGAAGCTGGAGGAATTGCAAGCCTCTACTGTCCCCTCCCCCCCCCCCCCCCACACACACACACACATCCCCACCCTATGAATTCTCCATTGTAGTTGGAGTGTATGAGCATGACAGTGGCATGTCCAAACAAGGTTTCTCTGGTTTTGGAAATAACGTTAAATAAATGTTTAATGAATGAAAATTACGATCTTTGTCCCTTTTAGCCATCTTAAAGACAGGAAATTAACAGGTAATGAATTAAAAAGTCACCACTCCTCGAAATAATCAGTTTATTTTCCTTCAACTTTAGAAAAATGGAGAATATCCTACTTGCATTTGAAACGAGTGGCAGTTCATATCAGCCAGTACTGCAAATAGTTTAGTATTGTTTACAACTGATCGGGATGCGATTTCCATTACACCGCCCCATATGTAATCATTGTTAAGCGGTCTCCTCAATAATTGGGACACAACCAAATTTACTACTTGTTCCCTCTGGAGTCTAAAATAGACGCTGGAGCGAAAGATGAAAACATGTTCCTACCCTGACAAATGCTTCTCAATAAAATCTTGTCTACAGGGAAATATAATTCACCTTCTGAATAAGAGTAAAATGTACTTTACGTTATTTTCATTTGGAAGCTTCGCTCTCCAGATCAAAAGTGTATATCCGTATGTGTAAAGCACGCCTGTGTAAATTATTTATCAAACTTTATCTCCAACACGTCTAATAATGCCTTGAACTTATTCTTTCTCACCGTCTGACCCCATACTGCTGAGACATGAACTAGTAGTGTAGTGACTGATTTCACTAAAATTTGATGCAAGGCTATGGCGTGGTGTTCCTGGCTCAGAAAAATATCCTTCTTCCAAGCTAACACTGAATATTCCATCTTGTGAGCGTCGCGGTGAACTAGTGACGAGTAGAGAAGGTTCAGGCGGATTTGCGGACTCATTATCGTCATTTATTTCTTCTTCTTCTGCGAAACTACCCAAAACATGCGCCGGGTACACGTCATTGGATTTTGAATGTCTTGGATGATTTCTAGCATCGGTATTCTGAACGTTTATGTTAATGTTAAGATGCACAGGACGGTTGCCATTTTCTATACGAATAACAGGAGCAGAGGGTTTCTGCTTCCTGTGTTCGCCTAGATATCTTGCAGAGGAGGCATGTAATCGGGGATATTGATTTGACGCAAAGCAAATTTCTCCGTGAAGAGCGTGGACAGGAGGAGACGTTTGAATTTGTGATTCTTTCCCTTTTAAAGATTCTGAATCTGCGATAGCGAGCTCCTGGATATTTCTGTCAAGCTCCGCTATGGCTTTCTCTGTCGTGATTTTGCTAACAGGTGTAGATTTGTGATTTTTCTTTGAAATATGAGGTCTGCTATCACTGCATTGCAACAGTGAGATGTCTTTATTGGGGGTTATGTCTGCATTTAGCGATGAGGAAGCCAAACGTGCTATCCCATTATCTTGATCTCCCCTTTCACCAGCAAAGCGGGACGTATTTGATAAAACTTCTGCCTGATATTGTTCTTTGGATTCTGAGGTTTTTGTAACTTCTTTGGGTGATTTCCCGGTAACGTTGTTCCTATTTTGCTTATCAGAATATGTTACTATTTCCGAAGAGTCTCTAGATTTCAAAGGAATCCGTCGTGTATGTGCCACCGAGATTACGTTTCTCACCACTTTATCAGTGGAAGCAAAATTCGGGGAAGTGGAATTTCCACTGCTTGCTTGAAATCTACAGGAGTCGTTCTCAGATTTATTGGAACCGTTTTCCCTGGCGTTTGATTTTACAAGGGTGGTTGTGGCGTCACGTAGTCCGTCTTTAACGTTCAATGATGAATGCGCTGTAGGTGATACACCAGCAGGAGGCATCCTAGGTTCATTTCGTTCCTTTGTGCCTCTAGTTGGGTCCTTCCGTATGTCTGCGACCCTGCCGACAGAATTGCTTCTAGAAAATTGGAAATGCATGGCCGGGTTTGAGACTTCCCCTGAGTTCTCACATTGAAGAAGGACAGCATGCATTGGGCTTGGAAACTTGAAATCGCCCCCAGAAAATGTACGTGGGCGCATGAAAGGCTCGGGAAAGTCATGCATTAGTTTATCCAGTTTGGAATGCGCTGTTTCAACTTCTTGTGGATTTTTCATTGTAGTAAGATTATCTTTTGTTTGAGAGCTGTGAGGTGCTGACGGATCTTTTACTTCAGAATGAGTCTGTTTATTGGCATTAGAATCCCTCCTGTGTTTGTGTTTGCCTCCAGAATCATGTCTCCGACGACCACTAAGTCTCCTGACTCTTGGTGGAGTTGGAGGCTGAGGAACTCCGGACCAGGTTGAGCTTCTGTCTCTCCCCATTGTGTTAGGTGTGCCGTCATCATTCCAGTCAACTATGTTGGATGCGCTTTTAAGTGCGTCCTGTGGGTGTAGATACATGCCACTCTTTTCAGGCGCCATACTTGTAGGTTGTCTTTCTGCCGCGGAAGTTCGCTGTAAATATACCAAATTTAGCTTTTAATGAAAAGCAATATGTAAATAAACAGAAATGCCTAGTATGATTAAGTGGAGCTGTCGTTTTGTCCCATGTATTTTATCATTAAAGAAGTATTCATGCCTCGTGGGCAGTTTTATCCTATTGACATGATGGAATTAAGCCCCTTTCACACACACACAAAAAATTGCATTCAATCCAAAGAATTCATGAAACAAACTGTAGCCACAGGAAGAAATAGCGGTCCCAAAAAAGTATATTTGTAAGACAGTTTCGAGTTAGGAAAATCAGTATTTTTACTCTCTAAACAACTACATGTAATTAGGATCTACAAAGCTCATAAAAGTTATGCTTTTGTTAAAGAGAAAAAATACAGAAGGAAAACATTGTAATCTAATACATTTCTGTAGCAATAACTTAAACGCTACGACCATGAGCAAAATTAACTAATATCAATGCTTCATGTGGGATAAGCTCATAGATACGATAAAGAGTGGGATACACAACAAAACAGAGATATAAAACTTTTAGTTAAGCTGCGATAAAAAGCTTTTATTTATCTGTTTGTTAAGCACTCAAAGAACGTTCGGTGGAAGGTTGGGAATACAAATTGTGGCTTATGGAAGTCCCTTTTTTATGTGAAGTGTTTTCATTTGATGATCCATGGCATTTGATTGACAGATGCGATCGACGGGTTAATTAAATCAATGGTACCCAACCGAGGGTATATCAGGTTTTCAATACACCCAAAAACCGTCAGACCTTAAACTAACACTAGGTAAACACAATCATTATTTGTTCTTAAAAACATAGTGTTGATACCAAGTTTCCAAACGCGTCAACTAAATGCCAGTCTCTGGAAACGTTACTTGAGATATAATCATAGATAATTCGACAAAGACGTCATGATCCCTGTTTCACAACACGCCAGGACCTGAAACAAAAGTGCTGTATGGTGAAGTTTTTGCTCAGCCTGATTTCTAGAACAGTATGCACTGAAACTGCAGTCGGGTAGTGTGAATAAAAATTGACTTTTTAAACATTTTCCACCGAAGAGAACAAACATTTCCTTTAGAATCAGCGTTTTTTAAATTTCATTTATTTTTATCTTGTGTGTGTGAACACCGGCACATTTTACTTCAAGGCAAAATAACTGGAACAGAAACGGATAAACTTTAATTGTTTTAACGTAGGCCTATATGTCGCTAATAAATTTGAATTTCTTGGGCCTGGAGGTTAAATAGACATTTGGACGTAAACTATCAGCTCTGGAGCTAGTGACCTATTGGCATAGGGATTGTCACCTTGGTTTGTCACCTAGTACATGGACTTTTGTATAAGTTGACACTTCATTGTAAGTACGTTCATATCACACCACATATCACACCATATTAAGCCAAATACTGCGCGCTCTTGAGTGTTTATCTCGTCCTCCAGTTCTATTGAGGGCGCTATGTTAGTCTCCGCTTAATTACATGCTTTTTTTTTTTTTTTTTTTTTTTTTTTTTTTTTTTTTTTTTGCAAAAAAAAACCGTTAAAATGGGTTTCAAATGTCTGAAATTATACCTTGGTCTACCTTCAGAAAGAGAATAATATTAAGAGAACAAAGAGACCACGTGCCAGGGAAATAACCCCCACCCCAAGGTTCTAGCCTTGGCCCTGAGCTATGCACTACAAGTCTGATAAGGAAGCCGTAAACAGTTTCGTTGATCAAACTGGTCCGCGGCGAAGGAGTTCAACCAGCCCTATAACCTTTCGATTGTGCTTTGCTGTCCATTTATAAATTACGATATATTGATAGAATTTAAGCCAAGTGACCCGGTACACAAACACAAACATTGAATACACTTGATATTTTTCATTATTGCACCTCAAAGGTGACGCTGTAGATAAGTTGACTACCAAGGTGACAATACAGGTGTTTGCGCGTTTAATCAGTCTCACTTATTTTTTCTGGGCTCATGCAGCCATTATCAATTTACAAAGAAGTTGGTCGCATAAAAACATAAAAACTTGGCATTGGCAACGTATCTCAAATCTGCATATCATAGACAATAAAATAGATGATGAAAAGATGAATTATTATAAAGAAAAATATTCCCTTTCTCAGGCAGAAAGTAAGGGCAAATATTTTGCCTGCAGGGCTACATCCCCTCCAGGGCAATAAACCTGGGCTGAGAACCAAGTGTGGCCTGAAAGAATATATATATATATATATATATCAGGGGCGGATTTAGGCCGTCTTCTGGGTCTTTCGGAAGACGGTCAGATTTTTAAGTTTACATTGACGGGTATCTAAGGTTTTCTGTCGGAAGACGGTCAAAAATGGAGGATGGATTAACAAAGATAATTTGGAAGACTGTCAGAAAATATCTCTGGATCCGCCCCTGTATATATATATATATATATATATATATAGAGAGAGAGAGAGAGAGAGAGAGAGAGGGAGAGAGAGAGAGAGAGAGAGAGAGAGAGCTAAACGAAATTAAGTTGGCTTACGGGCCATAACCTATAACCTATCTATTCATTTGTTGTGATTTCGATTAAATTTTTGAACAAAACTTAAAAACAGAGGGGGGAGGGAGGCAGCAAAAAAAGACAGGTCTGTTTAGAAAAAGATTCTTCAGAAATAAAAAAAAAGGAATATAGAAAAAGTCAGATTACTTAATTTGTATCAAATCCACAAGAACAAATTACGTATTCAGGACATGACGGCCCTGGGTGTACATGACTATTTGATTTATTGTGCGGATTGACAACCTTTTAGATAGTTAGCATGCTACCAAAAGAATTTACTGTAGCTTTTATTTCTTTTCCTATGGGTCCTTTATTCTGGCTTCGGTTAAGTGCCATGATTTGGTTGTAAAGCCTTCGTCGGGGACAAAGAGAGATAATGACATCCCAATCCATCTTTCGTCAATAGAAACATTGTTATATACTTATTTCTACCGATCTGCTTGAATAAGGTCAACAGAAAGACTTTAAATGATATCACCTCAGATGAAAATTGATATACACCGGTTTTCACTATCACAGCATCTCCCAAATAACATTGGTTTCAGTTGTGACCAATGAATTGACTCCCTCTCATACCTATTTACACTAATAGGAATTAAAGATTTTGAATTGCTGTTCGTTATTTGGCGAAAGCTATCTGATAGTCTTGTAAATTCATACTGGATACGTGAGATGTTCTAAAACTATTAGAAGATGTGGCTAATTTGATATTTAATACGAGGTATTTTCAGATACCGTTCCCTTAACCAGTGAATTTCCCATAACCACAATGTCTGATCAAACAAATGTAAAGGTAAGAAAGAAGGATTTTTGTTTGTTGAGTTAAATGAAAACTGTTTTGAAAACAGCTATAGTTTTTATCATTACACATGTACAAACGGGTGTTTGTATTTCTCATAAGTTTAGGTATATATTTTATTTCAAATTATAATCATAAATCCAAGGTGTGACAAATTACAAAACTTACTTTCATGTCACAACAAAACAAACATTTCCGAGGCTAATCAGGTCTGAATTTTCCTATGCCTAGGCACAGACTTGTGGATGACAAATTGGGCGCACATAATTTCAAGATAGTAAACCAGTTGCCCAGCAGACTCTTGCTTGCTGACGCTATCATTAATATATGTCAGGACGACTAGTTGGTATGTAATTTTTTTCTATTCTGCGCGACATGCTTAATGCAAATTTATATTAGCAGTTAAAACAATGCTGAACTTATTTACCAACGAAAAGTAAAATGTCGACAGTAACTGAGTTTGCGGTGAAGTTTGAAAAACTTACTGGCAAAATATATCAATAATACTTGTCAAAAAAAAAAGAGCTATAATCTCTATTTCAAGTTTGAATTTCGGTTTGCTTGACACATCGTATTTGTCAATTTGAAAGTTACCTTTGCCGATAACTTTTTGTGTGAAGAGACCCATACGCGTGACGATGTGAATTAAATAACATCTGATTTACAGGTACATGTACACAAAGCGTTTGTCAAATCCCAACATTGCAATGTTCAATGCAAATTTACCGTTTTCGTTGGAGTGTACCAACCTAGCTTGCTCTGGCCAGGAAGATAAAGCCAGGGGTCAGGGAATTCCTTCCTTTAGCAAATGAAGTTGATAAAAGTTGTTTGTCTGATTGAAAATCACGTTAATAAATACTCGATTTATTTAACACACAAAACCAAAGATAGCGTCTTCTTACCTGTTCTTTAACCTGTCGTCTCTTTGCATGGAGCTCAGAAGGGTCAAATGTATTACTTCTCTGGCGGCCAGCTTTTCCAATCATTTTTGCTTCTTCGACCGCTAAACGCTGTTTTTCTCTCAAAATGTGCAGCTCCTCTACTCCCGCCATGGTGGCCTGCAGTCGTTCTTTCATCCTGACGGCGTCGGGCCCGGGGGAGATGAGACGCTTTACGTAGTCGCTGAATGAACTGCTCCGTTGTCTTGGGGATAGTGGTTCGTCGTTACTGACTTTTTCTGTAGGAGATGATGATGTTCTTTGGAGTGGTGCATTTTTACTCACAAGTTGCGACATTGTTGGGGCAGTAAAAGAGTGACGGCGGAAAGCAACATTGTCGTTTTTCTCTATGGTTTCTTTCGAGTCCAAGTCTCTTGTATCCAGACTAAAATGGACGTGAAGGTCTTGGTCCCTTGCGCCTTTTCTGTGATGCATTCCGAAGGAACCGAACGACGAACTACGAGCGCGAGAACCTGGTAAAGATAAAACTTGCTTATATGTTCTTTCTGGGACGCGTGGTACGTTAAAAATACTCTTTATCGCTTTGGATTCCTTTTTTGTTTCAATTTTATCAAAAGGCGGATGTTTATCGTCTTCGATTAAATCAATTCTTTCAACACCCACGTAAGCAATATCACCACCGTCTGCAGGCTCGATTAAAATGGAAGGAATAGAGAATGCAGGCGTCTGGTGCGCTTGTGACGAAGTTTTCGCATGAGTATGCTCCAAAAATTCTTCTACACATGTAACATTTGGTGTTGGTTCGATTGCTGCCTTCACTCCTGAATGATATATATGGCTATCAGACGGATATTTACGGCAAGTATTTAACGCAGCACCAAGGAATGCACTCACACAGCTGTTCGAGCCGGGTACTCCCTCCCCACTGAATCCTACCAAACGTTTATACGTGCGTTCAACTTGGGGCGCTGGGGGTAGCGGTTTGTCTCTGGGGGACGACGCCCTTTTTCTCCCTTGTTCTGAAAACCTGTTTATTTTTGATAAGTTACCGACGGACGCGCTCCTCTGTCGTGTTGAAGTCAACGGCGTGAAACTGCGAGGTGCGTCACTCAGGAGGTGTTCACCTGAGCGGTGCTTATAAGTACGTTGTGGCACAGGTGGACTCACTCCCCATTTTTCTTCGGCGTCTTCTACCTTCAATTTTTCAACTTTTTTCCAGCCACTTGGTCCACATCCAGAGTTGTTTTGATCAGGACATGAGGTTTGAGTCCCTGCTTTATGCAGCGGGTCGGGCCAAGCCTCACTGCAGTAATCAGCCTCGATTAAATCACTGTTTACCTGGTTTAGCACGTCATAGCAAGAGGACATGCACAGGGAATGTCTTCTATTTTCATCAGGGGGGATAAAGCACCCATTTAGGTCTATACCCGTAGGTGCTATTTCCTCAATTTCTTGCCCGTCTTTCAAGCCCGTGTTGTGAAAACCCCTGGTAAGTTGCTTAGTCGGAAGCCCCGGGGGGAGAACCGATGTTGTCTGAGGTGTAACTGGAGTAATTATTTTTTGGTAAGTTCTAGCAGGAACGGGCGGTGGGTCGCTAGTCTCAGCTGCTGCATAGCCTTTCATAAGCGGGAATGTCAACACGCCTTCCTGACACGGGGTATTGTTGCAACTGTTCTCTCTCTGATCGCCCGTTTCACAACCCTTCTCGGGATTAACGGGGTCATGTTTTTGGCAAATACTTACAGGGTTTATTCCTTGTTTGTTTTTCCAAGCACCCTTTGTTCCTGGGGCGGTCTGAAGACTGTCTGTGCAATCGTTGTCGTTGTTGTCGTTGTGTAGCTCTAGGCTCTGAAGCGCATTAGCCCCTGCGTTACATTGAAAGGCAATTTTTTCGCTGTCGCCGTTTTCGTCTGCATAAGAACTCGGATGCGTTGCCACATCCCTTTTATATTGATTCTGATCATTCATTTTTGAACTACTGTCACTAAGTTGCGTGATTTGAAGCACCGCTGAAGCGCTTGAGTTAATTTGAGTCTGATCGTTTAATTCTGAGGCACTTATTCGCTCATTATTCTCACTGAGCTTCCGTTTCCTTGCCCTATGTATTCTACGTCGGATATGTCTATGGGTGAAGCCACTGAAAGTACTGCTGCGCCCCCTAATATAATCCAATTTGCCAAACTCCACAACGGTATCATTTCTTCCTTGACTGATGCTTTCGTTTTCCATTGTGTCACCTTAGAGAGACTCTACCAGAGTCCTTGACTTGTCAGCTATACGACAACGTAGTGCGATTACACTGACGAAAGGAGGTGATTTACCATGGTGTTTTTATTTGTTTTGCAGAATCAATCGAAGAAATATAAAAGCAACCACAAGGGCAGTCCATGTACACACCCCTTTTAATAAGACTCGTGTTGACATTGCCCGACTTTCTGATAATGCGCACTATCTGACCCGCCGTCCACTATCCCAAGTTTTCTTTTCGTTCAAGTGCAGAGCCTTTTCTCTTTTATTTAACATTCTAGTCGTGCGTGTTTCCCTTAACCTTTTGATCAAAATCTCCAAAGCGTTTGGTCATGCTTGCCGTAATCAAGCGATAGAACCCTCCCATGCATATTATTTAAATGTGGGAACAAGTGTATCTACATTTTGGATAAGGGTTATTATATATAAGAAAAATATGTTATTGATTGTCACCATATCCCATATCAAAATATTGGCACCGTATTTGGACTTGCATAATAACAATTTCAGGAGAGGCATGGACGTGTTTAATTCAAAGTAACTTGTGGATGATGTCTACTGTATTGATACAATAATTAATTGTGTGCTAAAGTGTCAAAGAAATTATAATTTAAGTTAGATAATCATTCTCAAAATGTCGCTTTTCTTCAGGAATAAATTAATCGAACACCTTTTCGAGTACATTTGGTTGGGGTGCATCGAGAAAATAATGAAAGGGATGATGATAGTGTACAAATTCTAGAAACTAACAAGAAAATGGGGGTAATGCGTTTAAAGAAAAAGGGACTTTTTAAAGTGTTCATGTCGAATGGTCAGTGGCGTGGCTATTCTTCCCGTATTTTTGACTTTACAAAGAATAAAACACGTCAAGAAATCCTTCGACTCTGTTCTTCCTAACTCACCCCTCGGATCGCCACAGGGCATTTTATTTGGAGTACTCGAGGCGGTTAATGTATGGCTTGGTTAATCTTAAAAGTTATCTTTGTAATGTTGTACCTGCAAGCTGTTGACACTGTTTAATGAGCGCAAAGGTGCAAACAGATCAGCCAAGCAGAAAGAGTCTGGTCGCTTCATTTTCCTTCAAGCGGAAAATATTTGCGTAACCGATAGATGAGTGGCAGTAACATAACGCCGATTTCAGACTATGATTCGATAAACCAAATCCAATTCAATATTCATTTTGCCATAACTGTTATCACATTGTAACTCGGGACAGATTATTGGGTTTATGAGAACCATTTCATCGAAATGAAGTCAAATTTGTGCATTTGTTGTTGAGACTGCTGGCGTCAAATATACCGGATAGAATTAGGGGGTATCTGGATCAGGTGTAAAAGGTACTGCGATGTCTTGTTTTTGTCGCTCAACAAGCCACATAAGGAGCAATATTATCGATGCGAAATACTCCCGGAAATAATATCAAATGCACCTTCCAATTTTTGTTACTAACTTACCTGCCTATTGCCTCTTTTGGAGCTTATGCCACCTGCAAGATCCCCAATCCATCCCAGTTCATTTCTAGTCAGTTGATTTCATCCCCCAACTTAACTCTCTTCTCCAGGTATCCTTTCTGCTTCCAATACCTCATGGGTTCCGTTTTGCAGGGCTTGTCTAGTGGTTTTTGTTGGAACCTTCGTATTGTTTTATTTATATATATTTTTCTCTTTAATGTATATTGGGATGTTGTATTTCATATGATTTATAGCAAGGGTTATGACTAACTGCAAAACAGTATTCAAATTCAAAAATTTCATTTTTTTTTTTTTTTGAAAACCACGCCTTACAGCCAGTCACTCTTTAGGTTTGACCGAAGTGTGACTGTTTATTTGTCCAAAAAAGAAAAAGAAAACAGACACATCAATTAATAGTATTATTCAACACCCCCTGCCAACTGATACTGATATTTGGCTTCTTAAGAAACCACCAAAATTAGCGAGGTTAGCACATTTAAAGGGAATATAAAGATGAGAATGCGATAGATGATCTCGACATCAGCTCAACACATTTACGGAACAAAGGACATCTGTCGCAATGCTCTCTACCAAGTACACTCATGTTCTGTATTATCGGTATGGGCAATGTCCAGATCCCGACACTTAATCCTGGGTGTCGAACAAACTGACGGTGACATTACATTTTGCCAATAATATGAATGCTACATATAAAGAACATACAAACATAGAAGTAAAGATGCAGGTCTCCGGCAATTTTCAGCCGAGTGTCTTTTATCTTTTTGTACCTGTACCTTCCCATCGAAAGATCAATTATACAAAGTGCGGCCGGAAAATGAAGAAGCATAAGAAGGAATATATTGCAGTCGAGAAGTTCAGTTATGGTAGAGATCATAAGAAAGCAGAAGGGGACAGTATCGTGATTAATGTTGGTCACGCACCACCCGTCAGGCTTGGTTGGCCATGAGAAACTATCGCAAAACATACAGAAAATTGTGCATTCACAAAACGATAAAATATTTTCTCATGGAAGTGATTTTATGCTGTCCTTTAGAGTTTGCACTTGTTTCTCTAAATATGATATCAGAATGACTGTTTGTCTTCTGTTTGTGCAATAAATTCTGAGGGCATATAGGGCCCATATATATCTAATGCCAGTAATGTCAAGATTATATCAGAATAGCTTGTTGGTCGTGTGGAGCTGAAAGGTCCTTCAAAAGAAACTTATAGGAAAAAGTTAAGAGGTATAAGGATAAAGATAAATTACCAAGCGATTCATTTAATCAGAAGAAAATTAATAGCAGCGCTTAACACGCCACCTCTGCCGCCCTAGCAGACCAATCAATGGGGCTGGCGCACGTGGCGTCCTCTATCGAGACCTAAACAAAGTTTGTTAATCGCCACCGGGAAATTTATTCGCATAGGACGACTGCATGAGGGTGCTGCTGGTAAAAACGTAGGGCAGGGCTTGGAAGAGGGGAAGGGAACGAACAGGAAAATGGTGCAGCAAGCGTATTACTGGCTGCTTATATTACTAGGAGTTTCAGGATATACCTGCGGGCAGTTATTTGAGCATAAACGTAAGTAATTTGATGTTAAAAGTTATCTCTCGCACAGGAGGATGTGCTTATTATACTTAATGCACATGATTATCGCTTGGAGTCAAATTTTTCTTTTGACTTTTCTCCTTTTAATCTTTAGTGCTTTAAAAGTGATTTGTGGGATCATTGCTGAAAAAGTGTGGCTATGCGTTTTTTTATTTAATTGTTTGGAACAAATTAAGAGTTTTAAACAACTCCTAAAGTTTAATAGATTTGTAAGTTTTAAGATTATAAGTAGAAAAAAATCATATTTGTGTCCAATAAATAATGCAGCGATTAAGTCTAGTATAACTGTAAATGTAAGGGGTTTGGTCTTCTTCATTCATTTTAATGGATCTTCTGTATCAAATGCATCAGTTTCACAGGGGTCTAAGTCATCATAGACGAGTGAAATAGACAACACAGCATGAGTTTGCTTTGACAGCAGTTCACTCCATCTATTAGCTCTACGATGTGATGAGTTACTTGTGTGGCAAGTTTAGTGCAGTTTTTAATCAGATCTAACAGCCTCTCCTTTGTCATGAAGCTCATTAAAAGGCTCCGGTTATAATGTGTTTCTACACCTATATAAGGAAAAATTGATGGGGTTCCGAGGTGTTAGTATTTGCCTATTGTGAATGCATTATGGCATTCTTGCATTATCTGCAGTGTGGGGGTATCACAATACTATTAATACCGCCAAGGCATAGCTTGCATAGCCTAACAAGCTGACAGGAATTCTTGTAAGATCAAATTCACTTCTTCTAAGATCAGATTCATTTCTGAGATCAGAATCAGTTCCGTTTAGCTTTTGGTGAAGTAATGTCACACCTGCTGTTCATTGACAAAGGAGGATGGTGTATTGTATCATTTGTAATGTGATCATTATGGAACCATCAGATTCTCAGCTCTTTGTATACAGGGCATGCTATTTTCATACCCTATCAGATCCCTTGGGTTAATGTTACTGTTTAAGTTCAAGAGGAATATGAATAGCATGTCTGAGGCCTTGTATAAAGTATTTCAAGGGAGTTTTTGTGATTAGTTATTGGTAATTAAGTTTTGTATAAAAAAGTCAAGTGTGAGACATTTTGTACATTTTATGCAGAAATTTTTGTAGATTTCTAATTGCATGGACTCCCTGTATAAAATCATAAGAGAATTTTCCTTGCTAGATATAATATGCAGGATATGATCTCTTTGATTGTGCTATTTTAAATCTATGCAACCAGTTTCCCCATATCAGATTTGAATGTTGGGTCTGTTATTAGATAGTAAGGGAGTTGCCGGATGCTCGTGATAGTTATTAATACATAACCATAGTAAACCTCCTAAAGGCAAGATTAATGGCTACATACAGCCAACATAATTGGCAGGTCCCATTCAACCTCTCTCACCTTCTTGGGCCAACAAAGCCACAGTAGAAAATTAACAGTTTCAGTTTGACTAGCCAGGCGTAAAGAAAAATAAACACCAGTGATAGGCAGGTAGGCAGTGGGAAAAGCATCTCCAAATACGCCCGAGTTCATAGGGGGGATCAAAGAGTTTTCTTTAACAGGGGAGCTTAAGTAATTACAGTATATGAATGGTGGGTTATCCATAGAGTTGAATTAGATTAGCTAAGCAAAGCATACATAAGGAAAGGTTATCAAATGGTTAAGGGCTTTTACTATGGAATGATTACAGCATATTGATTTGCCCAGGAATGATACCATGGCTTTGATTCCAGAGCAATACAGGTCTATGATCACATTTATTTCCATTTAAGTGTGTCACAAGTGTACACCCAAACCTGTTATGTCATTGCTATGAACAGGGAGTTGGACATCAGAAAATCCTGCAAGGCACATGTTTGCAATATTGCCTGTCATGGTTAAAGATGGTTTAAATGTATTTTATGTTGTTTCTTTTGCTTAGGATGTGGAGAGTGCTAGACTACTATAGTAGTGTGTAGAAAGATGTGCACATAGATAAAAAGCATTAAATCACAAAACATTTAAGTTAAGATGAAAATTATTAGTGCTTATATTTTTCATAAAATACTGTATCTCAACTTACTTTTAGGTATGATATGAAAATGTGAATATGTTTGAAACAAATTATTGGGCCATTAACTATGGCTTAGAATGATAAAAAGAAAACCCCATGATTAACATTTCTCAGGATGGGAACACAAAACAGGCCTGATGACATAGGGCAGTTCCTGTATAAATCTGTGTTATAGGAAGTAATTACCTGGCTACTTATGGTCAGTAAAATGAGTAATTACATATGTAAAACAAGTCATATCATTAATTCACACGCCGCTAAGATGGCCTGTGAAATTAATTCACCACAGTTTTACATTTTATCTACATAAAATGACAAGTTGAAGGTAGATTCTGATGTCCTTCTCAGTGGTGATATTCAGGTATGTGACAGTGCTCTCCATCTGCACTGACACTCACCCCTGATAGGGCAACATTAACCCTTGGGAAACCAGTCATTAACCCTCACAAAACAAGATCTCAACATTTTAGAATTTTAGTTAAAAGGTTTTATGACATATTATAGGTGTTCTGGGATGGGATGAAAATCATTTCAAGGGGTGAATAAGAACTGGATCATTTGTGCTTATTTGTGAGAGATTAACATTTAAAAATGCTAACCTACTTTACTTCATATGTAAAATAGTGACTCAAACTGAATTTTTTGCAAGTGCTACATATACTTTCATAAGAATTTCTGCTGGACTGTTTTAACTTGAAGAGCTGTCATGAAAAATGATCAGTAGTTTTGCAGAAAAATCATGAAAACAACTGTATTTGGTTATGCTAAATACATGCATTTATTTCTGTAACTTATTCTTGGTATTTAATTAAAATTTTGAATTATGTAAAATTAATTTTGTCCTATGTCAGTAAGATCTAATGCTTATTTATCATCATTGCAAAGCAAACTGCTTATGAAATTATATTTTATCTTAGAGGAAATATTGTTGATAATTGGAAAGTAGTCAATATTTTTGAGTCAAACTACTTTTGTACAATGTACATGTACCAGTAGCTAGACATTTTAAAAATAAGATGCACATTGAATTTGAATGCTGATTTGCAGTGTTGTAGACCTTGGTATAAATCTTATCAAATGCAACATTCCTGAATAACATTAAGAAGAAAAACCAAAGAATAAAACTATATATTAAATTGAAATTGGATTGCTCTATTATAGAAAAAGATAATGCAGTCGGTGAAGTAGTATAATCTAGAGTGAAGGACGTACTTATCAGGCGGCAATACAGAACACAGGGTATATTGATGTATGAGTCGGGGTACTTCAAAGGGCAATATAAAAGAAAAGGGGACGGCAAATATTGAAAGAGCTAGCTTACAACTCTCCTGTCTTTATGTTTGGACTTCACAGCATGAGGGCTTCATTTGAGGTTTTTGTATCATTGATAAAAAGATATCATTCCATAGCCCCGCTATAGAGTTCAATGATTTCTGTGCTGTTGTATTGTAGGGGTGCTCAGTGAGCAGAAAACCATCTCATCTAGTTGTAGATATTGTTGGAAGTTTACAAAAGTTTTTTTTCTATCATGCAAGCTAAAATCTAGAACTCAACAACTGAAAATGTTAATGTAATTCCGTGTATGTTCAGGGGGTGCATTAGCCATTGATCACTGTGTGTTTGGGAAGGAAGTGTAAAAAGCCATTAGTGCATTTTTTAAGACCTGGTGTTCTGAATGAAAAGCAATGCATAAAGACAGTCATTGAAAAAAACACAGTGCACCTCAAATTTAAATGCAAAACCCACACAGTTGTGCGTCAACATATGAAAACAGACAGAATAGAAACTGTTACATTTGTGGCGGCTCCCATCTTATTACTGTTGAAAGGAAGTTTTATCCACTCCCAATGTCTTCCTGTGCCTTCTAGCACAGAGTGGTTGTTACATGATATTTGACAGTACAATATAGACTAGTATCAAATACCCCGTCCCATTCTTTCCCTTACATTGTTGGATAAAAGCATTGAATTTTAATGATGTACCTTTCAAGGTGCAGTCACCCTAGAAGGGCACCTTTGCCACAAGTCACCCTAGGATCTAATCCTTCCATGAAAGCTGGCTGCAATGAAAGGGTTTAGGGAGCTTATGGGTATTCTACAAGATGGGAGGGGTGGGATAAGGGGGTGGGGTTAGGAGGTGGTTGCTTGAATGATCAAGTTCTCAATGGAGCAAGTGGTCATAAGTTCGTGAAACTCAAATATTTTTGTTCCATCTTTTTATAATAGCTATTATTATTATTTTTTTTTTTAAATGAAGAAGGCACATGACTCATAGAGCAGAATAGGACAGTTAGCATTTGCTTTAGAAAGACAGGGCATTTTCCATTGGTTTTATTGGAACATGACTTACCACTGACTTGATTGGGATTGGGGGGGGGGGGAGTTTTGTAGGACATTACTGTTTTCTGTAGATTAACAGGGATCCCATTTTCTATAATATCGGACAGCCTTGTTACTAGTTGAAGTGTTAGAAGGTATATGTGGTATACATGTTTGCACAGTAGCACATGAGCATCGACACATCTCTCACATTTCCTTTCTTCAATCATGGCAGCCCTGTACTTGTTTCAGCAGGAAAGGATGGCTACTATTTATTATATATATAAACATGACTTGGGTGTGCTATCAGCGCTGGTAAAGCGAATTGACTCTTTAGACTCGTCATGTTTGAGTTTGACAGTGTGATTACATTGTTTTAATTGACTAAATGGAAAAGAAACTGGGATTGGTTCTGGAAAACACCTTTGTGTAATATTACACCTCTTACTCAGTTTTTTATGTCACTCAAGTGTCATACATAAACAGAGTAGCACATGCTATATGTTACAGGAAACTTCATGATAAACAAGTTAAAAAGTTTTTTAACCTCAAGCATACATATGTTTAAAAAAAAGATGAAAAAATACCACAGCTGGTGGCCTTTCAGTTGTCCAGGGCATAAAAACTAATGAA